TTGCCAGGCTCTGGGCAGGCTGGATCCTCTGCCTGGGCAGCAGCCCCAGGTCACACAGCCCCTGTCCTGCCCTGGGGTCTCTCCAGGAGCACCCAGTTCTCCACTGTTCCCTTCCCCTTGGACTCTGCCCAGATCCGTCCTGCCTGGGCAGGGTCATGGTGTCTTCCTCCTCCAGACCGACTCATGAGAACTGCTCTGGGCAGCAGCAAGTGGCACATGGCGCCTACCGGCCCCACCCCCACCAATGCCCCTGCCTGCCCAGCTGCTGCCCAGTCCCCCACCAAGGCCCCTGCCTGCCCAGTCCCCAGCAAGGGCTGGGGCCCCTCTGCCAGCCTCTCTCGATGTGCAGGGATAGCGCTACCTAGTGGCCATCCCAGCCCCTGCTCTTGCCGCTGCTGCACTGTAAATTCATACCTGTGTGCCCAGCGTCCCTGCCTGCAGCCTGGTTGGCTCGGCCCTCTCCTCACCCCAGCCTGGGTCCTGTCCCACTTCAGCTACTGACGGGCAGCACCCGCCCTGGCGCCCCGGCTTAGTGTGGCCGCCTGCCACTGGGGCCCTTCCAGCTAAGCAGGGTCAGCCCTGGCCAGTCTGAAGCTGGGAGTCCTGCCAAGGGCAGCTGGGGGCTGTAGGAAGCCCTGGGGCTGCTCCCCCCTTTCCTTTGTGCTGCCCCCAGTGCAGCATGGGGGCTGTGCTGCAGTGCGGGTGCCCTAGGAGGGGCCAGCTGTGGGGGGAGGTGTGAAACCAGGGTCTGGGCCCTTCTGGGGGAGACTTGGGGCACCAGCCCTGCTGTTCTGGCCCCTGGGGCTGCTCCAGACACCCTGCAGTTCCAGCTAAATGCAGGATTCCTCTCCCCGTCCTGCCCCATGGGGTGAGCCATTCCCCCTCCCCCCCAGAGGTAGCTGCAGCTGTTAGCTGCCCTGTGTTACCGACTCCACTGCTCGCTGGCCCTGAGGCGTAGGGACACCGATTGCCCTGACATCTGGGCCATGCGTGAGTGCTGATTGGTGGTGGTGCCTGGCCCGCCCTCTCCCTGGGCCAGGGCGCTCGCCACCCTCCAGGTCCTCTCGCTGCACATGGCTGACGTGCCCCTCGGGGTTTGTCTGCAGAAGGAAAACCAGCCCCAGGCCCTGCAGTGCGAGGTCAGGTACCAGGTCGACAGGATGCCCTACAAGATCCAGCCCCAGGAGTACCCCAGCGAGGCCTGTAGAAGGAGTGGGGCACAGTGGGTGGGGGGGAGGTGGCTGGGGCAGCGTCAAAGCCCAGACCAGGCCCAGGTGAGTGGAGCCTGCAGCAAACCCATCCTGAGCCAATGACTAGCGGGGTGTGTGGGAGGGAGGGAGAGCGAGCCCCTGCCC